GTAGTTGTTGCCGCGGTTATGCACCAGCAAATGTAAGTTTACGACAGCTACCTTTTGTCTCTCGTTTCAGGATCGAGCAGTTAACTCTCGTTGAGGAGCTAATGATTGACCTTAGAACGAGAGTGAACCAATCAGATTGTTTATTGTAAAAGGTCGTTAAGATTGGATTTACCCTATCAAGGTTTTAAATATACATGAACTTCCCGAATAATCTTATGCGCGAACTTGACATTCTGAAAAACGCCCAAACTCATTTGCAAGGTATAACACTTCCTGCCTTCTATTCAGTATGCCGAGGGAAATAATTTAGTTTATTTTTTTTAGAGGGCACGGCAACGAATCCTGCAATCTGATCGGTTCTTTACCCGGTCAGTATTTTCCTATCTCTGCCCACGGGCCACGGTAACGCTTTCGTGAATCGCCGAGTACATCCCAAATTTCGTTGCCATTTTTCATAAATATATCTCGTTTTTCCGGCTGGGCAGTATTTTAAAGCAAACACGTCGGTCACTACCTCAAGCCGATAAATAACTTATGAATCCTCTCTTTTCTCTCAAATCACTTTGGTTGACAGAAAAATATTGGTTTCAGAATGAATTTGTTTTAGCAATAATGTCTTTACGTTGGTTGACAACAAGCGGCCTAAAAACCGTCTGTAATTAATTTTATTCGGTCTCAAAAAGTACCTAGACAGTTAAAACGTGAGGTATTTGGTTACAATTAAACTGAACGATGGAACTTTCATTCATTAAGTATCTGAATTTTCTCAAACAATTTTTTCGTAGTGAAAGAGCGAGCGAAGTTTTAAATTCAGTCCTACAACAAATATACGCTCTCAGTGGGTCTTTCCGAGTCCGTTCAATTTGGACATTTGTACCGTAAATTGCACAACAGAAACTGAAGGAATTTATTGAGAAAAGGCCGCGTTAAATCCCCTTGTGTCTCGTTGGAGTGTGCCATTCGAATTACGTTTTTGTGGAGGAAAGACCAGATTTACACACGCCATAGCAGCAAACAAACGAGCAAACTCTCACAACTTCAAAATAAAAAATTTGAATTCACTCACAATCACTTTCCTTGCCGTTTACTCAATGAATAGAGGTAAATCTTCGTACATGAATGAATCGTCGATGAGAGTGAGTAATACTTTCCGTTAGATCATTGAATGTTTTTGAAGAAAACATTGTCGTGACAGTCCTTGCCAAACTAGTTCCGTTGTTTTTCAAATGTTATTGTACCTTTTTTTTCTTACGCGCTCTCTAATTAACAGGTGTCAGATTGTGACAGATACTTGTAAAAATAATGTTTCAAATTTTGTTTGGAAGCCTTTTAAATCGCCTTTATCCTCACGCAAATGAAAATGTCTCGCTGAGGCATCTCTTTTTTAATTTGCATCACCTCTATTTAACTACCATTTACTCGCTCAAAAATTGTTCAGTTTATAGAAGATCTTGCCGTATTTACAGCCCTAAATCATTCGGGTTCTTTCGGAAATAATTTCGTCAAGTTTAAAAAAAATAAATATGTTATTTTACCGGCTAAGGGTCGGTCCGTATGGTAAAAAACTGTGACCTCGGTCTTGAAAATGCTGCCCTCGGAAAATTCTTCGGCCTCGGTCAGTATTTTCAAGACCTCGGTCACAGTTTTTCACCATACGGACCTCCCAGCCGGCAAATAACATATATTTCAGTTATTCACCATGAACTGAGGTTCTTCCGAACATTAAGACTCCATACGATTTCGAAAGTGCTTTCATCCGCTAAATAGCTACTTAAGAACTCATGGTAATGTAGTTGTTATTAGGATTGCTGCAGAGTGGGTGTAATGCAGATCCAAACGAGTTATTAACTTGGCCAACGTTAATCTCGTGCATTTAGTTTACAAAAACACAGTCCGAGCGCAGCAAGCTCGCTACTCAAGAGCTATAAATAGTCTACCAATATGGCCGGATATAACTCAGTTAATAGCTAAAATCCACTTTGCCATATGCCAGCAGTACTCTCTCTTCCTTCCTTTCTTCTTGCTTTTCACGTCGTGCGAAGTGGGGTGCGCAAACGTTTGGCTTTTTACAGTACCTCTCACAGCTTTGTTTACAGTCCTCATGCAGGGATGTAAAAAAGGCAAATTTGAATTTTCATAAGGATTATTTCAAAGCTGGTAGGCAACTTGGTCAATTTAAATCAAATACGTGACATATTTAAATGACAATCTGCTAACAGGAACCTTTGGACTTTTCAATGAAATCTGTAAATGCCGGAATAACGAGGCACCTAATTCTGCGATAACTTTGAGCTTTGAAAGTTTTGATAGATCAAAAAAAAAGGTTGCGTCGCAATTTGACCAATAACAGCTAAAATACAGAAATTTTTGTCTCTTTGAAAGACAACGGGCTTTTAAAAGACGCCAGTGTGGGCTGATCAAATGATTCGTGAAAGGTGGGCTCTCTTGGTCGTGGTCATTAGCGGTGCAGACTGAGGTAAGGTTTTCCTTTATTGCAAAATCCTCATCGCCGGAAAAGTCCGCGAATCGATATTCACAGTTGAACCGTGAGACTTCGGGTTTTTGGGAGTGAACATCAGCCTTTCACAAGAGAAAATATATGCGGAGAGTGTTAATTTTCTCATAGAATAAAACTTTTTCGAATTCAGAAGCAGCCCCGTATGTAGTTATGATCGCACCTTTCAGCAGATTACTTCAAAGCTATGTTTGGCATGAAACAGTCCAGTCTCAGTTTGGTTTGGAGCTGTTTGTAAACTTGCTTTAGACGACACCAAATTACATGTAATTGAGTTAAAGATCTCGCCAGACGAGAACTCAGTTTCTATTTCCTACTTGAAATTGAGCGCCTCACACCTTGCCTCGTATCCGATGGATAAGTTGCATCATTATCCTTTTTTTTGTTTTGTTTTTGCTGTTTAACAAAATGTCGTTGTTTTTGATCCCGATCAAACCCGAATTTTGTAAAGTTGCAGTTTAAGAACACCTTTATTGTGTGCAAACGAGACACGGATCTCAGTAGGAGAATAGTCATTAATTTTCTCATGCATAAATAAAATTTTTCTCGAATTCAACAAATAGCCCTTATCTAATTATGATCTCACTTCACGGAGGAATATTTCACAACTTTTCCGGCATGAAACTTTAAATTTCGGTTAGGTTTAGATTATAAGTGCGACATAATTGTCATCACTCGATGGTTTAGACGAGAAAAACTAACTATTTTCCCCTTTTTACGAGCCCTCTCTTGAAGAAAACACCTCAGGTTTTTTTTTGAGGGGGGGGGGCAGGGTGGTCTTGACAAATTGTGGGACTTCCCAATTAATTAGCGAGCCATTTTTCGAAAAAAGACAAAAAGAAAGAAAAATTGCAAGTCAAAATTATGTTGCTGACTTTTTGCGACATGTCCTCTGTGTGCACTACACACTGAAGAAAAATTTAATCTATTGACTCTTCCTTAAACAAGTATCGTTACAACATTAAAATAGCAATGGCGTGCACGTGGCATCCTGGCTGAAGATAAACAGAGATACATGGGCTTGTGTAGATATGGAATTTCTCTTCAAGTGTTCAATGTCGAGTTGAACACTCGAAGAGAAATTCTATATCTACAAGCAACCATGTATTATTTTGTTTATTATGTAAACACTGATAGCCCTTTACTGACAAGAAAACTCGTCTTAATTAATGAATGAAAATATCGACAATCCCGGCTAATAAGAATAGTAGAGTGTGTTGGCGCTTAGGCTCAAGATGAAAAAATGTGTTGAAACACAACGATGGGCGTAATTTTTGATATACAAAATTCTAAGTTATTGACTTTGTCCTTACCGACAGAAGAAATCTTTCAGGTACATAGTCAAAATCGGCCTGTGGCAAATCTCCCAATTGTCGATTTTCGTTCTCAGCCGCGAGAAATGCTATCACCAAAGTCCCTGAATACATAACTTTCAGTTTTTCTTTTCGTATTTGGGTTTTCTTCACCTTCAAGGAAAGTTTGAACGTCACTGTCTGTAATCGATAGGGATCTTTCAGTGTTGTAGTAACGCTAAGAGAAAATTCCGACAAGCGACCGTCGACTGAGTCAACCTGGCCGAGTGACGCGAAAGGTGTGTGTGACGTATCAGTAGCTGATTGGCGATATCAAACGTACGTAAAAATTATATCTTATTTTTCACGTGTGTTGTTACGGCTTTTCTCACTGGCTGGAGATCCTTCTAACACACCACAGTATAAATGGTAAAACCTTTTTTCCACTTGGACACGTGCCGTCAAGACCTCAAGCATTTCATGATGAGTGCATACCAATTAGATGTTTCCCAGGACAATTAGAGGATTGGTAGCTATGGGCGGCCGTCACCACCAAAAGGATATTAAATAGATCAGCAAATACAAAGCTGGTCTAAGAGGATGGCAAAGGGTTTTTGCGTAACGCGTGATGGCCCCAAAATTTGCTGGGTGACGCGTGATTGTACCCAAATTATCAGCGTGATGCGGACCGAACATCACAACATGAGGCGTGATTTGCTATTTTTACAAGCGCGTGACGCGTGATTTACAAGACTTACTAATCAAATTTCCGTGATAAGTGAACGATCTTTGATCTAGAAGGTTACCAGACATTCAAAGTAAATAGAGTCTTAACAAAAATCAATAAACCAGGGCAGCTTTGACACTGTCCTTTGGTCTTTTCCGTACTTTGCTAAGCTTTGCTTGACCTTGGATGTCCTTGATTTTCGTGGTAGGTCCAAACAATCGTGACACAATAGGCATAAGTTAATAAAGTTAAAATTTGCACAAGGACTATGACCTTCTGTGTTTGTTTTGTCGATCTCGTGGTCGTAATAGTGCGTGGGATCCAGAAGACTAGGAAGTCCACGGGTCGGTCCACGAATTCTACAGCTTGAAAGATAGCCAAATTAACAAAGTTCATACTAGTTCTCACGAGATAACCATTAAGCCATATAAGAGTTCAAACTACGAAAACATTGACAAAACTACGACTACTGACTCCTTGAACAACGAACTATGTTGACTATGATGCCCAGACGACACCTCAGACGTTGAAAAAATCAAGACTCTTCGTTTTTATTGTGTTCGATACTTGTAATGTACGATTTGATATTCCGATACGAAGCTCGAGTAAACGCTCTCGGAGCGTCTAGTTTCAACAAGTAAGTCGTCTTTATTTGTCTAACAAAAAAGCAGTATGCCATGTGAAACGCAATTCATTCCAGAAGGAAAACGTTGGATGCAATATAATTTCTAACAATACATGCTGAAATCTTACAGTATTAGCTGAGCGTACTTACTCCTTTTTTACGTGATGCGTGATTTAATAGAAAAATTATGAGTGATGTGTGATTGGAACCCCCCCATCCTTTGCCACCCTCGTCTAAGGATCAGCTGCAGGATAGCATAGCTAATAAAGGAATGTCATGGCCAAATTGTAGACGGTTTAGTTTTCCTTGATGAACACCCTAAACATGAAAAGTTAGCCAAATGATAAACGGTCTAATTGCCTATGTCGAGTGAGAACATGAAATTGTGAAATGGACTAGCTCAATTACGAATAGCCTAGCACTCATTTGCGACACAGTACACAAACGGTGTAGCGTTGCGTGAAATGGCTCAGTGTAATGTCGAATAGTACAGCGTACAAACAAATGGTGTAGCGTTACGTTGAATAGTTTTGCAGAACATCAGACGAACATTAAATTGCTTAGCATTACACGAAATATTTCGATGTTGTGGCGAATCGTCGAGCTTGCTTTTGGCGTGACGTGAAGGCTATCTCGCCGAAACCACCAAAAATACAAACCGCAAATGGAAAAGCGATCTGCTGGGGGTATGACGTCTTCGAATGTAAATGTTGGCGCGAAACCATCATGCACATGGTGTAGTCGCTGTGTTGAAGATTCTTCACTTCGTCTTGCCGTAAAGCAGAGCCAATTCCTAACTTTTCGGTAAGTGTGTCCTCTTTTTTCCCTGCCGATATTGCATTTATTTGTTATCGTTCATGAAAGCGTTTATTGAAATAGCGACGAGAATGAATTCTACCACGGTTTGTCGGCCTATCTGTTTACCACAGTTTGCACGTGTCGGTTAGCTTAAATGTTTATAATATTAGTTAGTATTATGACGTGCATTAAATGTCGCTTGTCGAGTTATCTTTTCTTTTCTGACTCGCGCTTACTTTTCAATAAGAGTTTGACTTCAACGGCTCTCTGAACATTGCAGGAGTACGTGAGAAATTGGAGTTTGTGTGTGCCTTTGCGCGCAGAGTTGAACGCCATAGTAAGAAAACTTATACCCTTGATCTGTTTTGACATTTTTCAATCAAATCGAAATGCTTTAATTGCCAACACTATTTTTGGCACACGAATAAAAGCATTCCGATATCACTTTGATTGAAAAATGTCAAAACTGATATCCTTGATCTGTTTTGATATTTTTCAATCAAAGTGACATCGGAATGCTTTAATTGCAAATGCTTTTTTTGGCACAACAAATAAACGGCAGCGAATAAATACAATATCGGCAGGACACACTTACCAAAATGTTACGAATTGGCTCTGCTTTGCGGCAAGGCGAAGTGAAGACTCTCCAACACAGCGACTACACCATTCGCATGATGCTTTTGCGCCAATCTTTGTGCTACACTGTTTGTGTGCTGTGTGCTGAATGCTAAGCTATTCATCGGTTTTCGCATAGTTCATTTCACAATTTCATGTTTCAACTCGACATAGGCGACTAGACTGTTATCATTTGGTTAAACTATTCATATTTAGGGTGTTCTGTTTTACGAAGGAAGACTAAACCGTCTATAATTTGGCCATGCCATTCCTTTATTAGCTATGCTATGCTGCGGCTGATCCTTGGACCAGCTTTGTATTTGCTGACCCATTTGACATCCTTGTATTTTTGGTGGTGACGGCCACCCATACACTTGCTCTTTAATTTTAATAACAAATAAGTCTAGTGGAGCTAATCAGGCCACAAAATAAAATCAATGTCACCGAAGCGAATTGTTTGAAGATCTTTGAAATCGATTGAAGATCGATCGGTATTTCGAATTTTTGATTTCGGCTATATTTCCACAACTACGTTTCGTAATGTTCAAGAAAAGAAATAGAAAATGTTGTTACATTGATTTCGAAAATAACCCGTCAGTTACATTTACACAAAACTTTGTTTCTATTTCTCTTTTCATTAAACAACTTCTTTTGCGAATGAGAGTTTCATTCCAGCTTCCGCGAGTTATCTAATCGGTAGGGAGTCAACGCTTGACGGGAAAGGGGGCAAGCCAATCAGATTGCCTGTGTTTTACGATAGTTTAGTGAGCATTTAACTAATTTAAAAGGTATAGAGCGCCAATGATCCCTGAAGACCGCAAACATCTTGAGTCATCCGCCTACGCCTGTCGGATCGTTTTTGCGAACGTGACATTTTAGAAAACGCCCGAACACTGCTATTTTTAACTTAAACTTACTGCTTTCTGATAAGTTCTAAGGTCGATATCTTTGCCTCAGTTACTCGACTGGAACGAGGTCTCCTGTCAAACCCAGTTTCTGAAAGTATCTTACTCGGCATACGTGCTCAGACTCCCTTGCTTCCCTCTGTGCGAGGGTTTCTGTAAGTTGTGAATATAGCATACACAATATGTGAGCAATATGAGTGAAATTTCATGAAAATTTAGTCTAACTAAAATTGTTAAAGATTTGCTTTTCAAGTTGGCCTAAATCAATTCAGGCTCAACTCCGTCCAATTTTCCCTATATACATCCTGTCATAGTTCTCCTCGGCTGTTGTCTATTGAATATTACCATCTTTTAAATTCCCTATTTTAGGATTGTAAATTATCAGTTCATATTCCCTTTGACCTGCATTTGACAGGTAGTTGAGGAAATAGCGTAATTACTCGATGAAACGCAGCGGCGTTCATCAATAGTTTAGCGTTTTGATGCGGCCTCTACTCAAAATACGTTTTCATTTCTTAGACCATGAAAAATATCTCTATAAATTACTCGTTAATCATGACCATGCCGCACTACAAAAACATGGTTAAAGTTGCAGTATCCTACTCTTTATTTTATTGAAATGAAATACACTTATTTATACACTTGGGTCAGATGCAAAGTAATTTCCTCGTTACGTTTCATGAGTAATACGTACGGCACATGAGACGAAGTTCTGCTTGCTGTCACAGTGAAATACCGGAAGACGAGGGCGATCAAGAGAGACTTCCTAATTCCCCTTCTTCTCTCCACCTGGGCATCTCCACGCAATTTTTGAATCATTGTATTGTTAGCTGGCCATACAGTTTGGCTAAAACAAGTTGCATCAGAATTAAAGAAACTTATTTGGATCATGATTATTAACAGGAATGACAGCTATCAGTGGGTCCAATTACCCCCCGACCATCTATACACGGTTTATTGCAAAGTGCGACAAGAGTGGTTAAAAAATGCCATAGCTTTCGGTGTGATGGTCGCAGTGTGCGACAGTTTTTTTTGCTTATAAAGTGCGACAAGTGTTTACAAAGGGAAAATGTTATTACAGAGTGCGACAGAAAATATCTTGAAGTGAGGCCGAGACTTACGGCAAGCAGGCCGCTTTCAATTAAAACAGTATCGAATGACCACAAGAGGACACGAGTGATCGTAATATGTCTGGAGACTTTAGTACTGTCTTTGTTTCTATACACGCTATAAAGATAACGGGCTCGTATTTATGATAGAAATAACTCATTACTTCGAACTCAGAACGGTCACCTGTTAGCGATCTAAAAGGGTTAAGATATATAAACACGGTAAGCTTTTTAGCCATCTTTCAAAAACCGTTAGAACAGACATTGCCACAGGGGTCGTCGCTGTGTCCGCTTTTTATGACATAGCGGAGTGATATGAATTCAGGTGTAACAGCATGATTTGTTCTTAATCTATCGCAGAAGTTGAAGTTAAGAACCTTTTGAGTCTTATCTCTCAAGGTACATGTGAGTGCCTTAGTCTTACTGCCTCCTGGGCATGAGTCGTTAAAAGCGTTCAATGACTCTGATTAACAAGTGTTACATAATTTGGTGGCGTCATTTCCTCTCAAGGACGTCACGCAGACTACTTAACTAAGTAGTGTAAATGAGTCTCCTGTATTATTTACAGTCACATCTTTTTCTTGAGTTATTAACGGAGAAAGGACCCATTTAACTTAGGCTCTTTATTGGAATTCGTAGGATTGGCCACCTTTCTGATGTGTTGAAAGTAACGGAAGACACAAGGGAACGATTTAAGGGCCATAGAAGCTGCAAATGCTCCATAATAATCCTTTGTTAGAGTTCGTAGCTACGGACGCTGCGGTGAAACCATCCTAGTGTGACCTATGACAGGAGGAATATTTCATTCCCTTTAAAGACGGAGCGAAGAATGTTTGGAAACAATTCCTCAACGATTTTGCATCGACCTGGTTCAGACAGCAATGAGACAAAATGTGCTACTTTCACGGTTGGACTAGTTGAAGTTTATATCACAATCCATGTTGTCACTATTCTGGTGTCCTTGGTGGGAAACATTCTTCTGATTATTTCCTATGTGAGAATGAAGGAAACGTTAATGCTCCCTATCGCCAACATGGCTGTATCTGACCTGCTGACTACACTTTTTCTAATGCCTCGTCTTGTTAGACGAGAGCTCACCGGATCCAACGATTTCCTCATTCGTGGAGTTACAGGTACATTACTCTGCAAACTATGCGCCTTCCTAAGCGACATATCGCTATCTGTGTCGACCCAGAGCTTAGTACTCATAGCCGCTGAGCGATTTCTCGCGATTGCTTGTCCAATTTTATATAGGAAGGTAATGACGGTGAAAAGACGCTATCTCTTCGTAGGCTTAACATGGATAATATCCATGGGAATTCATTCGCCATACTTTTACGGTTTCCGTCTGTCTACTAATAATATTTGTGAAATGAACTGGGAACCAGCTTTCGAAAATAAGTCGACGCAGCCACGCTACGTACTTTTTCTTTTCGTAACAGTTTTGCTTCTACCGTTAATTACTATCTCTGTGCTTTACTGCATTTTCGGCGTCAAGATTCGGCGAGATAAAGTAGCTTCGTCTCGAACCGAGAGAGGGGCCTTGAGACACCAGGAACGCAGCAGAAAGTTACAAAGAATGGGAATAGCTACTGTAACGGCGTTCTTAATCTGTTGGCTCCTTTATATAGTGATAAATGTTTTCAAACTGCTTTCTTCGAATACTGATCATGAGTGTAGCCAAGGTTTTAAGATAGTAGACAATATATCTCGCGTTTTAGCAAGCTGTTACTCTGCTGTAAATCCCTGTATTTGCTTTATATTTGTGAAAAGCTTTTCTCGTCAACTTTTCGCGTTATGCAGATGAGAAAGTTCACTGAAAGGGATCATAGAGATAGATGTTTGCAGGAAATAATACTTATTGTGTTCAATTTTGATCAGCGCAAATAATTAAGCTTTGTTTTACGCTAACGAGCAACGCTGGGGAGCCATCACTCCGAAGTCATAGCCGTTTTGGCAAGGACGTTTAATTGGTTTTTAGCCACAAGTGAGCTCCATAACCATTAGCCAAGCAGTCTACTGACTGAGTTTCAACAACATTTTATTTTTAACGATGAGTACGGTCTGAAGCCTTATGGAGTGGTATAAGTATTTGTATGTAAAGGAACTTTATTCAGTTAAACACTTACAGATCAAAGTAGTGCCAATATCAGTGATGTAAATTTCGTAATCATATCTTGAATTTATGCCAACATGGATCGCTTATCCCTTGATTTACTGTATCGCTTACTGGTGTAGGAAAGTGATGATTGATGGCAATGTTTTGGTAGTTGGTTAGTGTTTTTAAGACGTCGAAATAGTAGTCAGTCTTAAGCACATTAGTACAGAATAAAGCAATTCAAAAAGCCGACAGGTGTACGTGCTAAAGCGTGGCGAACGGATGCTGTTTAATTACAATCTTTTCCTGTGACGCACGAATAAGCATCTTTCTGCGAACAAAGGCCACTTTATCTAATTAACCTTATTTCTGGGATAATAGTCGTCACATTTAGATAATGAAGCACTGAAAGAATATAACCAAATACATTGAACTAGTCAAGGCGCCTAATTGAAAGTTTATTTTTCCTTCCTTTCTCAAAGAATATTTACCATAGCTGTGCTGCTATGCTATCAGTGAATATGTGAAATTTCTTCCTTTAGCGTGACGTCCTCAACGCTGTTTGATTTTCTTTGCCTTCAGGCTATCTCAAATATTGCATTACGTGTCGATTTCATTAAATAGTTGAATTAATTGAATAGTTTGGTGCCGATTCACCTGAAAAACGCCGCGTACCTCTTCTATCTTTACAGAAAATGAAACTGTGCGTTCATCTACGCAACCGAGTTAATCTCATTTACTGACAACTATTTAGATGTAGAAGACAGTGCCTTGAGCTTCCTTACCGTCAAGGAATGACCTTTTAAAGTTCAGTCAGCGTCTTAACCACGTATCTTTCCACACACGAAATTTACAATATGGGAAATATGTGGTTTTTGTCTTAAAAGCCTTACGGCTGAACCTAGTCAAACTTTCTACATTCGAACCTGTATTTAGCGGTCACGAAGAATGGTCATTCAGGTCAGGAATGGCGACCGCTAAATACAGGTTAGATAGAATAGGGGTTTGATTAAAAAAAAAAAAAGGAAAAAAGCCGTTTAGGATCAATATCAGTGGATCATCGATCAGTTCATGAACAAATACTCGCACCAAAATACTACTAGCATTAATTTTTCGGGAAAAAAAGACGAATTTAATTTTACTTGAAACTTGTTCTTAGTTTCATTTGATTGGTTCCGCTTTAACTGAACGTTCAGTACAGGTAGAAGAAAATACAAAGAGGCCGTTGGTACTCACTCATAGGTGACTAAGACCGCTTGATAAAGGTTACCGCTGAATAGAAGTAAAAATTACAGTTGTTAAGTGGAAACAAATTCGGCACTGACAAGCGACCGCTTAATACTGCAGGGTGACCGCTTTATTCAGGTTTGATTTTGTAAAACATCTCCGTCCCCTATCGTCCCTTTACGTCCGGGCCGAGCCGCCTCGCCTGCCAGGTCTACCATTTGTATTTACTACAGAACGCGTGCAAAATGTTCATTTACCAGGAGGATTATTTAACCATTTAACTTATATGAGTGACCAAGACAGAATTTCCCCTTACAATAATAATACAATATCTACAAGATAAGTGACGAGAATAAAGAAAAATATCCGTTTAGGGATAATTGGTTGATCCAATACTAACTTCTCTGGACTACCATCATAAGAATTGTATGGTTGACAAAAAGGAGAATTACAAATTTGATCTGGGAGTTAAAGGGTTAATTTGTCACCATAAAATTGCTCAGAGGGTCGATTTGCATATGTTGAAACTGAAAACGCTTCCTGACTGCCAGATCGAACCATAGCAAACTATGGCTCACGAAAAACTGCTCCGATCGGAATGGAAAAGTCATTCTAAGAGTCCAAAATTATTTTGAGATGATAGCATTTGCTTTGTCGATGGTGAAGTAATGGGATAGGTCACTTTTTAGATAACACTTGCGAGCTCCACATACTACATACTACCACACAAGGTAGTGTAAGCGGACCGTATCTTTTTAATATATTTTTGAACGATTTGGAGATTTTTTTTAATGGTTGTCCTGTGCTTTTTAAATATGCCGATGATTCCACTATTCTTTCGCCTATCACTAGGAATAGTGACCCGTCTGCCGACTTAGTAGGACAGTTCTTAACATGGTGTAAAGACAATAGAATGGTCTGCAACCCTTGCAAATGTAAAGAGCTGGTTGTTAGAAAGAAAAATCATAATGTACTCTACTCTCCAATTAATAAAATTCCCCAATGTAATAGCTTCGTTTTATTAGGGGTAACTTTACAGAGTGATGGAAAATTTGATGAGCATGTAAGAACTAAGCTTGTCAAAGCAAACAAGTGTTTACACGTCCTACGAACATTGAGAAAGGAACATTACTCTCAGGCAGAGATTGATCATCTTTTTATATCGATTGTTTTGGCTAATTTTAGCTATGCACTTTCAGTCTATGGGGCATCTGAGTCCGATCTTACGGTTGTACAAAAATTTTTAGACCGATGTCATGAACGCGGTTTTATCTCATTTCCAGTTTTTATCAAGAACCTTTTAAACAAACAAGACAGAAACATTTTGAAGAAACTAAAATCAACGGATTGCCACCCCCTGAAAGATATCATTCCTGTCCAAAAGACATATCTACACAATCTCAGGAAAAAAGGCTGCGCGCGCCCGAAAATTAATACACAGCGCTTTATGAACACATTTGTAAATAGGTTGATATTTAAGCTCCATTTATTATGATGATATACTTTTTAATTCATAATATGTATGTAGATTTCTGTAGTTTTTTCAATTCATTGTAACATAAGATATGTAGTTTTATCTTATGATGGAATAAAGACATTATATATATATACATGTCAAAAAAAGGGCCTTGCGGCGATCGCTAAAGGATCATTCTCTCGGTAGAAAAGAGCATTTACGCTCCCTTTATTTACGTCTTGAAACAACATTCATTTTGTTTTTAAAGTATGGGTGAAATTTCTTTGGCATTGCTGTTATTATAGCCGAATATCTTAATTTTGAGCGTGTTGACATCTGCACCAGCGATGTTGAAGCCCCATAGTATGAATTATCTGAACCGAAAAGTAGAAGGACCTTTTTGGGCTGTTTACCGACGGCCGCCGAATCTAGATGCCGCAGCAAAGTCTGGAAGAAATGTTAAACCGGCGAACAAACGAAATATCGAAACAGTCCTTCTCGGGGATTTTAATCTTGACTACATCTCACCGAATGCGGCAACAAAACATTTCCAGCGTATTCGAACCTCTTCAATTTGAAGCAGCTGATTATCGAACCCACCACGATTACTCATCACTCCAGAACTTTTATCGATTTAAATCTTTACTTCAAAGGCTGATATTTATGTACCTGGAGTATGTTTCTCCGATCACTTGGCTATTTATGGAACTCGGAAACTTCACAGAATCCCTCTCCGACCACCAAGAATGGTCGAGATCAGGAATTATAAACACTATGATGCCGCTTTGGTTTGTGAGGCTTTAAATAACATCCTCGTGGACCTTGAAAAAAATCCTAATGAGGAGTGGCTTTCTTTCAAGGATCTATTCCTGACAGCAGCGGACAAACACGCACCAATGATTAAGCGCCGTGTTCGCGGAAGATCAGCCTGCAGAGCAAGCGTAATTTTGGCGAGCGAGTGCTCAGTATTTTCTTAACGAAAATTATGGCCGCCACTTTGATTTTAATGACAGCGGAAGGCTGGGAGGAGAAAGAAATTTCTACCAAGGGGGCGGTCGACGGTCAATTAAAAGGGACGGGTTGGGGTAGGAGAGTGTAGATTACGCATTCTCTCGCCCCTCCCTCCCCCACCCCCTCTGTCCACTCTAACTCCCAATCAAATATGGCCTGTCGGATAAACGATCGCGTTTTTATAACGTTAGCTCGCCCTAACAAGACGCCTGCATTGCGGGTTAACTTAAGATCGGTGTCTTGGTTGTTGGTTGACGCCTGAGACTAAATTAAAGACTTCATGCATAAGTGCGATTATGAACATAAGAAAGTCATATCAACAGACAGTGGGCTACATTGGAGTAATAACAAAAGATTACGCAAAGCTCTCATCGCGAAAATGCGTAAAAAAATGTAATAATTATTCCACAAAGCTCCCAAGTGACAAGAACCTCAAAGAGATGAGACAGACACTAAATAATATCTTGCCCAAAGAAAATAAACGCGCGTCCGGTGGTGACTCATCAATTCTGTCAGCGACAAAGTTCAACGAGTTTTTTTTGCATCAATCGCATGGAATTTATGCAATGTCTTAAAAGACCGAGCCTTTTCTCAAATTTTAGTTCCCAGAGTTAACAAGGACTTTACTGTTGACGTCAGTTTTGAAAGCTATGAGCTGTCAAAATTAGAACTATCGAAAGCTACTGGGCTCGACAAAATCCCTGCAAAACTGCTCCAAGACGCAGCGGCGCCGTTATAGCCAAGGCAGTATATAGCTTATCTCATAAACCTCACGATCTCGACAGGTGAAATTACGTCACAGTGGAAGGAAGATAAAGTAACTCCAATTTATAATACTGGGAGAAAAGATGATGAGAACAGCTATCATTTTGTAAACTTTGTCCTGTTTACTAGGGATAGAACTCTGACGAACGAGACTCAATTAAACTGTTTTATTTCGCTCTCGTATTCGCTTATTTACATCAGGTGTGTAAAAAGCTACTCTGCAAAATTTGTAAGAAATCACTCTCTTATACGATATTTTCTACATTTTGATTGGTTGTTGCCGAGTACTGATTTAAAAGGGTCATTCAAGGTTGCGTTGATTATGTAAACCATTCAATGTCCATAGTGTTCGCACTCATCATCTGACATGTGTCACGCACGAATCAAAGTCTCCGACACATTCAATTTCAGTTCTCCCCTTGATTTCTAAAGTGATGGAATTTGCAATTCAAGCTCAACTTTTGGCCTTTCTTGACGAAAACAAAGTTCTATCAGTTTTTTAATCCCTTTTCCGTAAGAAGCATTCCACTGAAACTGCAGTTGTCTACCTGGTTGATCATATATTAGATTACATAGACAGTTAACAGGTAACCGGTGCTACCCTTGTCGATCTGAAAAAGGCCTTTGATCTTGTTGATCACCACTGCCTCCTTCACAAGCTAGAGCACTATGGAGTTAGAGGATACAGTCTTATCTGGTTCAGAAATTATCTCACTACTCGTTCGCAGACAGTTCAATATGGAGATGTGTTATCATCCAGTCTTCCTTTACTGCTTCGGTGTTCCCAAAGGTTCCTTACTTAGATCATTTGTGACATACATAAATGACCTGCCTCAGTGTTTGCTGCACTCGGCGATAAGTATGTATGCCGATGTCTCAGTGATCCATTATACTGGGTCCAATATTAACATCATTAGAGAAAATCTACAGAAGACCTCAAACGAGTCAAGCAGTGGTTGATGAGTAGCAGATTAATACTAAATCAGAGCAAAACGAAAGGAAACTACTGCAAACCTCATCAGACTTTGTGCTGCAGATCTAAGGTTCAATTATCTTGGGGTTATGCTCGATGAACAGCTTCTGGAGAGAGCATACCGACTCCCTTTGTAACAAAGTCAATAAGTGTTTGGGACTTTTAGCACGGATAAGATCTTGCCGTACTCTTAAAGCAGCGAAGTGTGTCTGAAATACCCTTATTGAGCCAATCCTGTGTTATACCGACACTGTATGGGGTGAACTGTCAAAACCCTTCAACGTTTTAAGGCGTGACTCCTCTTAAGACACTTTTAGTGTTTTAGGGCGGGCTGAGTAAGAAATGAAACAGAAAAGACACAAATGTGCTTTAGTTTATAAATGCTTAAATAAGCAAGTACCTCAGTATCTATGTAACTATTTTATTAGAAACTATAATGCACGTAACTATGACACTCTCAGAAGAACCGATTTGCACCTGCCCAAACCGAAGTTAAGTCTTAGCAAACGAACTTTTAAGTGTTCGGACTCAGCCCTTTTTAATTTGTTGCCTTGTTACATTCAAAACGCGGAACCACTTTCTTTCTTCACATTTTTAGTGAATACTAACGATTTTTAACATTTTGTTTTTTTAAATTATTACATTTTGTATTTTTAAACTAATATTTATTATATTTTTGAATAAATATTTACTGTATTTTTAAAAAATTATACTCTTTATTCCAAGTTCCCCCTGGATACCAGCCTTACGGCTAATTGGGCCACCCAGGTAAAATAAAGTACCCTAAACAAAAAGATATGTGCCATTTCCTATGAACGCCGGAGATATCAAGGCTGCTGGCCCTTAAAAGGCGTGAAAACGGCAGCTCTCTGTCAATTTGTACTAAACTGTGTGATTTAATTATCCAGTTTGCTGGGATATTAGATCATGAAAATCATTAAACCACAAGAAACCACCGTACCCGCAAACATTGCTCCAGGCCTTGACACTACTACCCCTTTGCATGACAAAGCAATCTGATAGTATTAATTCTTTGTTCTCAGTCTATTTTTAAAACGAAGGCTCAAAGCTGTTCAGTTCAGATCAGTTAACAATGTCTATTAATTGATCGCTTCCAAGTTTGACAGAAATTGAGAGCGCTATGACGTAATTTTGTGGTGTGCCCAATCACTTGTGTTTCCTCATGAATGACGAACGGTGTATTCAAATCTGCGAAATAGGTGCGTTGTTATGTTGATTGTGGTTGAAACTGTCTTTACAATCAGACACAGACAAAGCAGCTGCTGAGTTTTACCTTCTTGAACAGAAGCTATTGAAAGGCATGGTTACTTCCCTGCTGGGGCTACAGCAGCTGAATGAAAAAATTCAGCTCAATTTATAACTGAAGACCCTGATTGCGCAGCGTGGTGTCTTCGAGTCTTTCTAGAAAGTGAAAGCGTCCAACTGTGACCTGTTAACGGGAGAAACCTATTATATCCCGGCCCTAAAGACAAAATAAACAGCTTGTCACGATGATTTCATCAAACGCAAACAACATATCCGTGGTTTTGGACCATGCTGGTTCGGACAGAAATGATACTTCTACACCAACAAAATGTGCCGCTTTCACTGTTGGACCCATGGAAATTTATATCACAATACATGTTCTCACTCTTTTAGTGTCCTTGGTAGGAAATATTCTTATCATTGCTGCTTATGTGAGAATGAAGGAAAATATTTTGCTCCCTATCGCCAACATGGCTGCATCTGATCTGCTGACTGCACTCTTTCTAATGCCTCGCCTTTTAACAAGAGAGTTCACTCGATCCAACGTTTTCCTCGTTCGAGGAGGTACAGGTACATTTCTGTGCAAGATGTGTACTTTCCTAAGCGACGTATCGTTGTCTGTGTCGACCCAGAGCGTATTGCTTATAGCCACTGAACGATTCCTTGCTATTGTTCATCCACTTCTGTATAAGAAGGTGTTCACGGTGAAAAGACGCTATCTCTTCGTCGCTTTAACATGGATAGCTTCCATGGCGATTCATTCGCCATACTTTTACATTTTCCGTCTGTCTGCCGATAACACGTGTCAACCCAACTGGGAACCAGCTTTTGATCATGAGTCGACGCAGCCACGCTACCTGATCTTTCTATTCATAACAGTTTTGTTTTTACCGCTGCTTTCTATTTCTGTGCTTTATGGTATTATCCATGTTAAACTTCAGAGAGATAAATTGGCTTCGTCTCGAACTGAGAGAGGGGCTGTAAGACATCAAGAACGCAGCAGGAAGTTACAAAGGATGGGAATAGCTACTATCATTGCGTTCTTACTTTGCTGGACGCTTTATATTGGAATAAGTGTTTTCAAACTATTTTCCCCAAATGCTCAACAGAATTGTAATATAGGTTTCAGGATGGTTGATCATATTTCTCGAGTTTTGGTAAGCTGCTATCCTGCGGTAAATGCGAGCATTTGCTTCATCTTCGTACAGGGCTTTACTCAGCAGCTTATAGGTATGTGTAGACGAAAACGCCAACGATCAGTCACTACTGAAATAGTACAAGATTGGTCTGCGGAGAACAACTGCAGTCGCATACGATCTGAATCAGCGCAAACATTGAGCTCGTTACTGATCACGAGAAACGGGAACAATTGCTCACTCGTTGATTCCCATCTAGTCTAAGACCCATCCTTTCTTTGTCTTAGACTAGTCTAGAATTGACTAATAGAAATGCCCAGTTGAAAACAAGCTAATTTGCATACTTAGATGTGCGACTTTCTGATGAAATTTACATTCTAATGTCATCATGTTATTGTTTTAAGCGATCGAGTGCATGTCTGGTAAACCGATGTGTTTATGAAGCACTTTTCCCTCGAGATATTTACTCGCAAATGGTTAAGTATGCAATTTTTTATCAACTTAATGGGATTTTGAAAATAAAATATTCACGAAATGAAATTTTTCGAAACTTGTTTCGTCGATCTTGCGGTCGCTTCTCGTGACTTGGGTGAACGTGTCGAGTATCATTTGGCACGCAAACCTTAGTTAGGGCACTTCAGTTGCTCATAGCAACGCTACCTACCCGTACGTGAGTTTCATTCAATCATTAGCATGAACAGTGTCTTAAGAAGAACGTTAATGAAAATAAATCGGCCTATTTTGATTAGCGCTGGACGAGGAATCAATGATGCAAATACCAGCTGCTTTTTTTTCCCACTTGCCATATGTCAATCTACCGTTTTCCATAAAGTATTTCTGCATTTTTCTCCACTCATCTCTTATTCTCCTTCTTAGAAAAAAAATAACTCCCAATCCCAAAATCAAAATATTCTACTAAACAGAAGCTGCAACCTACTGGTGCTCTTAGGGAGAATGTGACACGTGGTACAGATCCAAGGGATCTGTAAACTATCTATTCTTTACTTCTGCTTGTGAATCATTTACCCAATCCAATTAAATAATCGTGGTGATGAACCCTTCCTAGATTTTTTTTGAAGGTCCGTTTTTTGTTATCATCCCTCGGGGAAGGAGTAGTGGATAAAGTAGACTCGATCTGGCCTGCCTAACCCGGTCGGTTTCTCTGATGCACGTAATGCAAACTTGTATACCTGATTTAGGTGTTCTGTGTTAATCATATGATTTGATAACATGAGGCTTCTGTTAAATGTTGGCAGGTCAAGTTTGCGAGCGTATCCAGTGTCTTGCCTAAGAACACAACACAGTAAATAGACAAGGGCCCAGACCTCGGACATTCGATCCGAGATTTAACTGGTGAATGCTTATAGACTTCTTTCAAAAATGCCTAATTTCTATACTTTCATTTCACCGCAAGTGATTTTCAAGCATCTTTGCGTCTTCTCTCTACATCCTGCCTTGTTTCATTATGTTGTAAAATCCAGGAAACGATTTTAGTGCTTTATTGATTAAAAAGAAAATTTTCATCTAAAATGACATGACTCTTAGCAAGCCGAGAGGTGTCCCATGCAAATTACTGTGATATATTTTCACTTCAAATAATATGCGTGGGCAGCTTTTTCCTATATCGTCGCATTTTACCCCCATTTGTATCGCGTTGATGGTTCCGTTTGCACATTGCACTCAATTCGCGAGAAAAGACTTTTAGGAACATAAAACAAATACAAGGATTAACAGCGCAGTAAGAGGTTACTAACACCCGAGATATAAAATAAATTATTTGAAACGTTTCGCTGCATTCAGGAACTGACGTAGGTGAAAAAAGCTGCAGAAAAGTAATAACAACAAAGAGCGTCCAACATGTTAAAAACGCTGTTAAAGTAGCTGTGACCATCCTTTTTAAATTCTTGTTACGTGCATATTTTCTGCGAGCTCTATTTTCACTCAGACCAGTCACCATTTTGTCAACCCTCCGAAGCTTGATCATCGTCGTAAGGCACAAGATTGCCACCGCAAGGAGGGGCATAAATACAACTGTAACGTACAAAAAGGTGATATAGTGTAATTGAGCTGATCCATTGCTAAAGGCGGGTTCCCAGCTTGGCACACAAAACAAGGTTCCTGTGCCATTTTGTTTTTTATGTGTAATCAGTCGAAAAATGTAGAAATAGGGCGAGTGCAATGTCATGGCCAGGATCCATGTGACGGCAATGAGCACATAGCGAGTTCTCACGGTGATTTTCTTGTACAAGAAAGGATATACTACAGCCAAGAAGCGCTCCGCGGCGATCAATATCAAGTTCTGTGTTGATACCGACAGAGATACGTCACTCAAGAAAGTGGACATCTTACAGAGAATTAGTCCTCCTAATCCGTGAACAAGGAAGGCGTTGGATCTGGTGATTTCTCTTGTTATCAAACGAGGGATCAGAAAAACTCCGACAAGTAGATCAGAGGCCGCCATGTTGGCAATAAAGACAGCGATCTTTTGTTTCATTCTTACGAACGCAAGTATAAGAAGTGTGTTTCCTGCTAGAGCAATTAACAACGTAGAAACATGTATTAAAACCATTGTTACTTGTATCGGACTCATGGTAACTCCTAGTTTTTCGCAATTTTCTTGTGGAGAAGTTGTGGTGTTGTGGAAACCTCCAACGTCCAAATTATCGGAGGAAACATTTACTCCGAGAGCCATTGTGCCGCTGTTTGTTTAAGAATACTGTCTCCTCTTTCGATCTTTTGTTCAATTAGTCTTAGCGCCGTCTTGGGCCCGGTTATTATGGACTCGAACAATGAATTGATTAAAATTGAAAAATTATTCAGCCCAGCATATCTCCCAAGCAAATTAATTCGAGAAATCATCGAGATTTCTATAAAAATTCTGTATTTATAGTTATACAAAAAGCCTATGCTATCGATATGGTCCAAGTACTTTTAGATTCTAAAGTAAAAACTTCATATGTCTCGGAAATACAGAATTGGAAAGTTACAATACAATTTGATAGTCAAAATATCGATTACGAATTGATAATATATGAATTGTTGATACAATTTTCAAATTCCCAGGTTTGTTTGACCGAAATAATGATCTACCTGGAAAGGATTCATCAACAATACCATTACACTTGAGAAAGACCGCTATTGATTTTCATGTTTGTTTTGTCATTTCATGTTTGTTTTGAAGGGAATCTCCAGAGGACATACTTGCCAGAATTTAGAACAAAGTCTAATTTCAACTGATCTCTCTTGGATGAAATTGATCTTCGTAAAAACTATTTATAATTTAAATGCAAAGCCTCATATCCTCGCCTGATGCGTGACTCATCAAATAAATCGGCGAGTCTTACTTGCGCCCGAGCTCTGAGAGGAGTTAAACTCCTCACGTAGCAATTATAATACTTTGCTGATGCTCTCTGTATCCATAGTTGCGGTTGATGTGAAATGCATTTCATATGATTACATAATTGTGAAAGAAACCTGTCACCCAGTGCACCAGCATGTTGCACAAGGAGGAGGAAAGGTGGGGGAGGGGGGGTGGAGGGTTATAAAATGGTTTTACCATAATCAGTTTTAGTAGTCGACTGAAATATCATATAAACAGAAGACCACAGATAGCATATAAATTAGTTATAAGATATGAGAGTGCTTTCGTTTGGAAGATTATTTTGAATTTTTGCATGAGTTATCTTGGAATGACAGTGGAAATAATGGAAAATAAAAAGAAATGAAAATTTCCTCTAAAAGGAGGCTTGTCTAATAATTCACGGTCGTAATTAATATCACAATTTTATATACCACCGTGCGCGACTGGCTTCAAATTACGCCAACAAAAATTAACTGCATCGTTTTCATGTCGACATTAACTCACCTTCAGGGTTGTTTGAGGCACAAAATGTTTCAATACATATCTGCGTGTCGAACTGGGTTTCAGGTGAACCATTCTCACGCGGAGGTAAGTTAAGTCAAATTGCTGATTGCATTCCTGCTTTTAATAACGTTTTTAACCCTCGAGTCATTTTGTTGCGACCAACTTTTCCATGTGGCTCTTATCTGACTTAATTATCTTACCCAGCGTGGGCACGCTTATGGATTATGATTAGAGTTGGAGGTAGTTAGTAGCGTAAAGCTCCTGGGCCTTAATATAGCTAGCGACTTGACCTGGAACAGTCATATATCAGAAGTAATCAAAAAGGCCAGTAAGAGGTTGTATTTTTTAGTGCAACTAAAGAGAGCTAGGGTTCCCTTACAAGACCTAGTACTTTTCTACACATCATGTGTAAGATCTGTAACAGAGTACGCGATACCTGTCTTCTATAATGCACTTCCGCAATATCTGAAGAATGAGCTTTTACGTATTGAGAAACGGTCAATTTCCATTATAACTGCGGGTGATTGCGCGGTTGCTCAAGATTTAGGAATACGACCCATCTTAGAACATTACGAATTTCTATGTCAGAAGCTTTTTAAAGGTATCTTAGACAACCCTAGCCACAAGTTAAAGGCGCTTCTTCCACCCATACATAAACCCAGCTATAACTTCAAAAATAAACGCCAATTTAATATGCCACGCCTTCGCACTTCGAGAACGATGAACACTTTTATATTTGCTATGGCAAGGAGGTTTAATGGCTAGATTTTTATCGATACGATATCCTTTATTTTTGTTACGGCACGCGTGATAATTATAGTAATAACAATGATAATGATAATGTAGATACTTTTAATTAATTTAAATTTATTTTAATTAGTTTACATTTATAGCTAATGTATTTTATTTAATTTACTATCATGTTATTATATTGTAAATTGCTGGTATAATAAGACGTGTAATTAGGTTTTTGAATTTTAAATTTTAAATTTCTTGGATTGTAAAAATGTGTAATTCAGCCCTCGGGCTGCAAATGCATTTGAGATTAAACTATCTATCTATCTATCTACCTCTTTGTGTTTTATAAAAAGCTTTTTGTTTAAAACACACCTCCAAATTTTTTGGCATGCTGACATTTACTGTCGATTGTATGGCGAATCTGTTTGTTAGAAGCTTAACAGATGCAGATCAAAGACTATTATGTCGCAAAAGTGTTGTTTATTCTTCATCGAAGTTATAATTTTACAGGAACCTTCAATAGCTTACCTCACGGTTCAGACTACTTGGGAACTTAAGCAAACCGCCACCGCGAAAGTAACGAGGACACGGCAAAACAAAAGAACAAATGGAAGAACAATAGCTTAGCTCTTGCTTTCTAGAACTCATATGCAAAACAAAACGTGAAAGTTTCGTGGTCTGAGAACGGAAATCCTGACGGAAAATGATTTAAGATCCCGTTTGGAGCTCAATGCTGCTCATATGCCCTATGCTTAAGTTAAGGTGTAGCGCTGTAATTGACCGTAAACAAATCCAGACTATTGCAAAATTCTACCTTAAAATTTAAATTTATTTTTTAGCGCCTTCAGTCTTCCTCGGCGTTGACGTAAAGACTGCAACTGGTAGTTATCAATATTCCATCTCGCCGCTTCAATAAAACTAGTCGTGGTCTTCATCAAGCGATAAGGCCGAATGATCATGACACCACGTCATAAATGCATGTCGTAACAAGTAGGCCACCCTATCGAGGGGGAACAAGCGGAGAGGGAACCCGTGGGAATAGAGCGTGAGAGGGAAACAGAAGGATGAAAATGCAATGGGAAGCTGTCTGAATGAGCTCAATTTGTTATTCAATGCTGTTTATGAAACGTTTTGTTTTGCTTTGTTTTGTTTTTTTCTTTTAACAAGAAAAAGTAAGTGATCCACTTAGGTAAGTCGCGGCCGGTGAAAGGAAAAAAGGGGGCAAATTTCTAAAGAAAATGTGGTGCTGCGTCCGTGGGAGAGTATAACAAGGTAATTTGGTATTCGCAACTTAGTTGACAACTTAAATTGGCCACTGCTAAGAGTCTCAAAGCTGACTTTTCGAGCGCTAGCCCCTAATCAGAGCGAATGTGATCCTTCCAAAGTTTCGCTTCATTTAAAAAAAAAAGCCTTTAACCGAAAATTCAGGCTTTGATGGATTCCAACCCGTCCCTCACTTCCAGATTTTAATAGGGCGCTGTTACCAGTTGAGCTACAAAACGTATTGGGAGCGAAGCAAATTTCGTGAAATTTAGTAGGAATATGCATGACCATATTTTGCCCTGCGGTTGATGATGAACGAGTGATAAACAATTGAAGATCTGATCCTCTCAGATAATCTGCAAGAAAGCGAGCTAACCTGCGCGGATCACTTATTTATAAACCACAGTTCAAAATATGATTAATTTGATTCACTTATGGGACACTTTTGGTTGTCTGCGTAGTTTGCTGTTTCAGACAGAGTTAACTCCCACCTTTTATCCTCTCCACACGGGTCAAATTAAGTCATCAGAGCTGATTTAATAAACTTCAAAGAGTGGTTCATGTGCCAAGGCTATTTCATCACCTGTTATCAAATAGAAAATTCTAAATATTTTATGGTTCATTTCACGTTTATGTGAAGTATCAGGCGTCTGAGTTTATTTATAGCTTCATCCTTTCACTCTCAAGTTTACAAACCAATAATACCCATCCAGTTGCACCGTCAGCTCTGAGTATTGATGTAAAGTCAAACGGTATCGCCGCCTAGTTGATGTTTCTTTTTCTTTCCATTATCATTCTGCTTAAGAGTATCGTGATATGTCGAGGATAAGTTCCCTTTTGGTCCCTGCTGGGGAGAAAATGAAAAAGAAAAAGGCGACTTACAAGATTGATCTGTGACCACATGTAAGCGCCGTTTGTTGCCCAGACGAACTGGATCCTCGCTTCTTGTCTATAGCTAATTTGTGATCGCAACATTTAATCTGTTTCACTCCAATAAATGATAGATTACAATTAAGGATAACAGCGATAACTATGATTTCAATTCACGACAGGTAAAGTCCATCTCCCTTTAGAAAAGATCACACAGGGAGAGTTGGGTACAGGTCAGTAAACGTCCCACCGATTTTCGCATAGATTGATCAGTAAGCTTCCTTTCGTAGAAAAAAATATTCTTATATATCCTCGTTAAACCTTCATCTCTTTTAAACTTCATGTAAGTTAACAACAAACCAACTAACATTCTATCTCGGTCTTTAGCAAACTTCTTGGAGAAATGAAAGGGCAATTATTGATAAGTTTGGCTCAACTTATATTCACTTGTAACTTTATATCCCGCTGTTTTTATAGTTTGCTTTAAAAACTCCAATGGTGTTTATGGGTGTTCATTTATAAGCTTCAATCGGGCAGCAAAGCTAAGAATATGGAGTTTTGTAGTAATGGTTCACGTGATACGTAATTAAGAGCACATGAATAATAACTACAGTCTATCCTTTAGGCTGATGCTGCTGGCGTTACAGTAATTCTAGCCACGAATGCGAGTGTTCGATCCAATATACGACTCCCGTCAGTTATAGTTATTTTTGGTCAATTATATTGCTCTCAGAGTTGATCGGATCCACAATATGACGATTATCGTTGGTAGGTGTTCGTTTATCGAAAAAAGTTATTCGTAATGTTTCTCTCGTCGAAGCTGCAAAACAGACCTTTTCTGGCCCAGTTTTCGTCGTCTGTGGTAAGCTTTATGTCCATGGTTTGTTCAGGTTGTCCTTTTTGTTTGGCGGTTAAGGTGTTGTGAAAGTAACGTGATGAAAGCAATATCGTTTGTCGCGAAGTCGTAAGAATGCACATTTGTTTGAAGTTCTAAATGATAATTTCTGCAGCAAACATAACAAAACGGTGTTCAGCGATTTAATTGCTTCTTTGAGCATCTCACATAGGGTGCAACCGTTTGAAGTGTTTACCGTTGTGGTTGGGTGGACTTTCAACACGCTTTCGTGTTCATATGTCCTTTTTGTTTGCGAACAGTAGTGAGCATTATAACAGATGGACGTCTGATAGCGACCTTAAGTGACACACCTCAGCCAGCTTATCTGTAAAAATGAAATACTTTGCGCCTGTTTAATCACTAGTGGCTACAAATACATTCTAAAGAGGCCAACATTATTGTAAAATTACAAATCCTGTGACTACAATGACCAACCATATTGTGTGAGGTCACGTCCGATCAACGACTGACTCTAGGAAGCAATGATTCGACCTATCGATCGAAACTGGCAAAAGCTGCCCAAGTCTTTTAGCCAAAACATCTCGGCCAAGTGGAATTAAATGTTCCACTTTATTTATCAAGGGGGAATAAAAGGAAAACTTTTGTTTGTCATCAATCATCTTCAATTTCCTTTTACTTCTCTTCTAGCAGCTGTTAAGACTTAAGCTACTTTGTGTGCCATGGATTGATTTAATGTGATGAGTTTCCTATTAGAATAATTTCAGTAGATCCAACCCTAAGCGCACGGATCACATCTCTCGATAGTGAGTGATATAAAGTTTTACCTGTTGAGAGCGTTTTATATATATATATTTCTTTGCTTTTTCAGCCTTAGAATAAAGTTTCTTTTCATTCATACAGAACACACCAATTCAGACCAGATACGCTTTTCTAAGAGAGTTCGCCATTGTCCTCCGCCGGGTTCGTTGTTAGGGCGATAAGATAGGTTTGTATGCTGTAGACATAATAAAGCTTCAATAGAATTACGTCTTGAAGCAGTTCTTTTTCAAAAAGAAGAAATAAGTAAAAAAAAAAAAAATGAAACAACTTCCAACAATTATTCACCGGAGTGCAGGTAAATATTCACCACTCTCATCGACACTGAGGTAAATTATTGTTTTGGTATATATCAGACAATAGCCAAAATATTTGTAAATTTCTGTTAGTCTAGCGGAAAAATGTCGGAAATGTAACCCTTAATGCGTAGTCTTGTCTCTTCGGCTTGCTAATCACCTCCGAACTAGCCAGTTAGCGCGCGCAAAAGGAACTATTCACCACTGTAGTAAAATAAAACAAGTTTATCAATTACTCTGACTTTCTCTAATAGTGTACGATGAATTTATGTAACAGCAGCCTCGGAAAAACCAGGAGGCCGTGTATCAAATTTCTCTGTCAGTATATCATCTGCCTTATATTAAGCAGATATCATAACAAAACAAATGGGCCATTGGTATACCAAATATTAGTATTCCGACATAAGATACGCAGATAAACTCAGATAAATGAGAGAGATTGTTTTTGTTCTCACGTGCCCTAACCGAGTACATATGTTTCGTATCCCTACACGCACAAGATATTTTCGAAATGGAAATGTGGAAAAAATTTGAAAACAATAGGAACAAACTGCCAAAAAGTATCCGCTTTAATTGGTGGCACAATTTTACCACTCACTGTTTCCTTTGTGAAGTTGTTTGCATTAATTCAAATGAATAAAGGGGTAAGTTTCTAAAAAAAAAAAACAAAACACTGTGGCGCTGCGTCGATGAGAAAGTCACGGTTTAACAGGATAATTTAGTATTATCAACTGAGTTGATGACGTAAATTAGCCACCGTAAAGAATTTCAAAGCTGACGTTTCGAGCGTTAGCCCTTCGTCTATCGCTCTGACGAAGGGCTAACGCTCGAAACGTCGGCTTTTAAACACTTTTCGGTGGCCAATTTACTTCATCAACTAAGTTGATAATGCTAAATTACCCTGTTTACATTAAGGCCTCATTATAATAAGAGTTTGTCACTAATTTTCGACTACATATGCTTGTCACGTGCAGTTGAATGTAGTTACTTGGCAGACGGAGGAGGAAAAGGTTATCAATATTTATGCAGTTTGTCAATACGATAGCACAAGGACAAGCATCGTCTGACAGAAAGACAAACAGCGTCATTACTGGTTATTTCGGTAAGGTGAATACTGAAGCATACACTCTTTGATCTATGGATGAATTAGGCATTCAGCCAGAAAAATTCTTCCTTAAGTTCCATGTTTTCTCTGCTTTTTTTCAGGCTTTGTGATCAAGTTATGAATTCAAGTACACAATTCGCTTTAGAGGCTTCGAAGGCTGTGAATGCCAGCGACAACAGTACCCATACTCTGGAAAGTTGTGGTATTGTATTTCCAAATGGGATAATAATCACTATACACTTTTTGACGCTCTTTACGTCCTTGATAGGAAACACTCTCCTCATCGTTGCATTTCTGAGAATGAAAGAAACGATACTGCTCCTCATTGCCAACATGGCTGCATCTGACCTACTCTTAGCGCTGGTTCTTATGCCTGAATTGATTATATATGAACTAACTGGGTCCTTCGAATACCACGTTCGTGGTGATGTAGGTACTTTTCTGTGTAAGATCTGCCCTGTTCTAAGCGACGCATCATTGTCAGTATCAACCCAAAGCTTAGTCTTGATCGCAGTCGAGCGGTTACTGGCACTAATGGCTCCTGTACTCTATAGGAGGATAACCGATAGTAAACGGAGGATTATCGTCATCTGCACTTGGATTGTGGCCATACTTCTTCACTCGCCCTATTTCTACGCGAAGCGACTAGCTTCGATCCATCACGAAGGTACCTTTATCCAAGTTTGTTATCTAGACTGGGCACCAATTTTTGAACACAGAACAGCACAACTTCGTTATGGTATTTTTTTATACATAACCGTTTTAATTGTACCTATTCTTATAATTTCTGTGCTTTACGCTGTAATCGTTTTCAACCAACGAAATGACAAAATGGTCTCCAGTCGAGGTGAAAAGTGTGCAATACGAAAGAAACGAAGCGTCAAGAATTTAAAACGGATGGCTGTAGCTACAGTAACGGCACTATTTTTATGCTGGACGCTTTATATCATAGTGTTTTCATTCAAACTTGTCTCTCCAGAGACTGTTCCCAAATGTAGTAAATTTTTCCAGGCAGTGGAAAATGTGTCTAGCTTGATGGCAAGCTGTTATTGTGCAGTTAATCCCTCCCTTTGTTTCATTTTCATCAAATGTTTTTCACGTCAGCTAAGTTTTTTGTGTCAACGAAAATCTAATCGACAGCGTGGCGCGAAGTGTACTCACGCGAATGTCAAAATGGGAGAATCTGGTTCTGTCAGCTGTCTGACGAGATTAAGTTTACGTGGCAGTTAAACTAAATAATCCTTATCAATAGCTCTGTCAAAACAAACTAAAATGTGATATTAAAGAAGGAAAAAACAAGAAGATGAAACATAAATTTATTATGCTTGAATTGCGGATCACCCTCAGGCAAAGCGACTATTGTATCTTAGTTATTATTCGACAGAAACTTTCCCCTTTGTTAAGCCTTTTCGTTGTCTTGATACGTGGCACAATATTATGGAAAAGAAAATCATGGGTATATCTCCAATCTATTTGCAGTGGAAATGTTGCCCACTTAAAAATAATAATATATCAAGGAAATTCTAGTCAAAGAGACCCCCAGAACACCTGCGGTGTTAATGGAAATGTGTCTTCTTAACATTTAAGTGCGAGACGTGTGTATGGAGTTTTAATTTCCCAGTGATTGTAGTTTAGATTATTTTGTTTCAAAACAAGTACGTTAAAAGTACATAGTGTCCAAAATGTATCTCATTAACTTCCGTTAAAAGTCAGGTTTCGAATATCCTCGTCACTTGTCGACCACTGGCCCCTCGGCAGTTGGTAAGTAAGATAGCATCTTTCACTCGAAATATGACTGAGAAGTTTAACATCAGGCAAGGTGAGATAGCCGGTGCAGTTCAGGCCTTTTGATATTAGTTCTTCCAGCTATTTGTCAGAGGTAAACCACTTAATGTGCTTCCATATACTGCGATAAAGTCCATTACTTGATACCTAAGATTAAACAGCATCAAGCATAAATGGCATAACTTACTTGGTATGGAAATGTTCACTTCATTGTTTCGGAAGCCAAGTTGTGAGGCTTTGTTATGTAAGAGCTGATTGAGATTTTAAGAAAGAAGTCGATTTTGGAGCAGACGATTTGGAAATCTCTGACGCTGCTTTCTCTATCTTTTGGTGGGATAGTTTAGCCATTTCATGCTCACATTGCGCTTACTCACGAGTCCTTTAAAAGGCTTTCTATTGCTAAAGATCGTTGCAATGAGAGAGGATGATATTCAGTACTTTTTTTTTTCTTCAATTTGAACAGAAAGCTCATCCTATGTTTTGGGAGCGAAATTGATTTTTGCATTAAATTTTAGCCTGAAACTAAATGTATACTAGATCAAAAAGGAATAAATTAGACATATCAATCAAATTTACTTTCGACTTTTGCAGCTTTTGGTGTCAACCTTTGCAGTTTTCGCTTTTGAATTCTTCATGGAGTGGGATTACCAATAATTTCCCATGGAATAACACAAATGCGGCAACGAAATCTAACCACGTAGAGAAATATTGATTATATTTTCCCTACCGTGTCTTATTTGTGTGCATTCATTGTAAGCAGGCTATAGATGGCTAACTCTGAGAAAGGAAAAAGAATCTGCGGCGAACGCCATGGACTGTGCATTTTTCTTACAGTGCTGTGTGAAACGTATAGTCTGAGGGTAGGAAAAAACCATCACACTCTTGGCCAATCTCTTTTTTTACTTCTGCTTTAAGTACAAGAAGGTAATTGAAAGGAGAGGATTTGAATTATGTTATTTTCACTTTTATCTTCCGCCTTTCTCCATTTCTAAGTTGGAGAAAAATTCAAATGTTGTTTTCTTGAATTATCAGCCGTACTGGCTGTTGATTCATTTCATTAATCGTATCAACTTCTACTTGTTATTACTATAAGATCTTAACTATAATCAGTCTTTCAATTGAATATATTTAACTGCCACTCTTATGTCAAACTGCTATTTCCTGTCGCCTTTTTTAAAGGATCATAGGAACATTAATTAGCTTTATTGGGAGAGGGGGGAGGGGAAGTCGAGAAAAAATTTATCGTGACACAGCCAAAATACTCCAACCCCAACCCCCCCCCCTCCTCCACAAGGCGATAAGTAATGCAGGTCCCTTGTTCTTTGCAGCCAATCGATCTTGAAGGAATATATTTAATGATTCAAAACATGTGTAGACTTTTGATGACATTACCCATAATCCTTTAGCGTTGCAGTTTATGCTGGAAGAGAGCTGTGTTGTAAAGCACTTGCTGATTACATTCTTGATTGTATTGTTTTCGTGTGTTCTCGATTGATTTTGGCGGATTACACTTCAAGTTGTTAAAATTACTGGCCAGTTTACATTCTCTGGCGTCTCGTGAGATTGTTTGTTGTAATAGATCTTAAGAACAATTATATTGTGTCAAAAAATTTTTTTTCATTACTACCAGTATATCAACAGTTGTTGCTGAAACTTGACCAAAATTTAACTGTCAAACTTCTATCGGTTATCAGTGTTCATTAAACAAAAACAGATTACGGAAATCGACACCCCTTATTCATACCGCTGTAAGCGTGCCCACCACATCGGATACCTTATGCTTTAGTGTGAAATAGGGTTTATTGATCATGACAAGAGAATACAATCTTTTGTTCGTGATTATTCTAGGCAGTAGATGAACGAGAAAACTCATGCAGAAGGAGAGAAATTTATAATATTTCCTGTCGCAAAAATAAAACTGAAAGCTATCACAAAAGACATGACTGTGCTTCCTTTCCATTTCATACCGAGGATCCTTTCTCCCTATTCTTTGGCTGAATTATTTTTAGTATTCCTTGGACTAACAGCTGTGCAATTTCGTTATCATCCGGATGCTTCCCGGGCTGCTGACTTTGCTCTGATGCAGCCTCTTTAGATCGGTTATCGTCAGGTGCTACATCATCTGCATGATCTGCCTTGTCATTTTCCTTTTCACCAGATTTCGAATCGTTAAAGTTTCCTTTTTCCTTGACTGGTTTTCCCAAAGAGATCGGAATATCTTTGTCTTCAGTACTCAATGTGGCCTCACCATCAGGAAAATTAGCTGGAAATTCTATTGCAAAATCTCGTTGTACAAACCTTAGTGCAACGCATAGATCGTGGGTCTCTTTGTCTCTGCTTGTACCAGTTACTTGAAATGTCCCCTGGAGAGCGCCATGGATCTTTCCAAAAAGGTCCATGCCTTCTTTCACCGAGTACCACTGCTCTCTTTTTGTTTCGGCCTGTTGCGATGAAGTTGAAGTCCAGCGAAACTCGCCCTTTACCGGATCATTGTGATATTTCTTTTGTGTTCCACTGAAAGGATTACTGAGGCGGAAAGCGCTGTCCTCCGGCAGTACCTCTGTGAAAATAAATCATAGAATGTTTACAATAATTGGAAGAACAGATGGGTAAATAATCCAAGTGTAGGCTCTTAACTAACCGTATTTTGAAAGTATCCTGTTTTAGAAATATTCAACTTACATTTTTAGCACTGAAAATCTAACGTTGCAATTACCTGAGAGCCTCCATAGGGCAATGGCTTTTGCTGAAAACGATTAAAATTTTGGCCATTTTACGGCTGACGGCTAATGAATTTCTGTTAAGTTAACAAAATGATTTTACTTATTTACGCCTGACGGCTCAATTATTTTGCTGCTTTACAACAAAACCCTCTTTTTAAACAACCACGAAACAGTTAATACGCGGTAAAACCGTCATTTGCGTCTAAAATTCTTATTATCGTAATTTCATTACTGTTATTTTCCCCTATGGAGATATGAAAATAGCTAATCTTTCGATTATGCCTTGACGGGGAAGGGAGAGCGTTGCAAGACAAGACGAAACATGATCCTGCTCAGCAGTATGTTAAAAAGAAAAATTTATACGACTGATAGGGGGAATCTAATCTTGCCAAGTTTCCCATTATTGCAAGGTCCTGTGTTTGGTGGAAATCATGATAACGAGGACGCGTGTGTGCACCGATTCATGAATAATTATTGTAGTAAATACTCTAACGGCGACTGGTTCACCAATTTTTTTAAAATAAACAATCGAATATTTAAGGATATTACCGAGTATTCCCTTCAATGAAGCTTCCTTTTCAACGACACAAACTTGCTTCACGTCCAGTGTTTCGTTGTCCACACCAACCTTCATATATACAAAGCAGGGCTTTCCTTTACCTTGGTTTACACCTTAAACAAAATATATGAATCATCATGAACTAAACAAAATGAGACCTCGCAGTGAACTTTTCACTACCTGCAGAACATAAGGGGCTATATAGTTACTCTTCTTGGCCAAAAGCTAACTCAATGTGATGGACAAGACATCTATTGCTTAACAATTGTTCATTTTAAGTAGAGGGAAGGGGTGAGTGAGTATTCTATTTCGTTTGCCTCCAGTTCTAGGAAATTGATTCTGTAGTCAGGCCTCGTTTATATTTCACAATCGTATAGTCAAATTTCATTTGCTTCGATAAATTTTGAAATATTCAACAAGGCGAACCACCCTCCCAAAAAATTAAATTAAAGACGAAACAAACCGAGCGAAAGTGGTACTAGTAGTTGACTTTAGCACATAGAGTAAAATAGACACTGTTACTTCCCCTAATAGGACACTGAATTTCGTTTCTTACCGCCAGATTCTTTTGTGCTCCATATCCCAACGCGTCGAAGAGCATGGGGTTTGAACAACTCTTCTTCATCTTCGTCCTTAAGACTACCAGTGATATACTGCACGACTGGCTGATTTGAATGAGTCCACAGACCAAACAGATGTCCGCTCTCAATCCGTTTTTCTGCAATACGTTGCTTAATCTGCCTAAGTTCACCCTCGTGGATTGTCACTGTCAGACTCATCTTGGCTCGTACTGTCAACCGAAAAATATCAGTGAATAAGTCGCAATAACGAAGCAGCTTGGGACGATCAGAGCAAAATGTTTTTCACTTTTTATTGCAATGAGCTTTTTCATGGGCCGTAAATAACATTTCTAAGAAATCGTTACGTCATGTGATACTCTGAGCCTACCGGTTTTTCCCGGAAATGTTTACATGTCAGTTAAGGATATTCAGATTTTGTTAAAGTGAGTACATGTAACGAGAGTTAATGGTTCCATGACAAAGACCAGCTAGAGAAGAAATGGAATGAAAAACCAAAGAAATCAGTCACCGTGTCATAAATTCACAAATCCTATTTTCTCCGCCTGAGCTTGTTGAATCAACTCTTCGTCAAAGCTGTATGAAAATCGCAAAAATTTCGGTCGGCTCTTGCGAAGTATTGAAATAATAATGCGTCTTATTTGACGGAAAGTGCGAGCTATTTCGGTTTCCAAATACAGCCACGACTATCGCGGAAAAAAAAATGCGTTTTTCTTATGCAGAAAATAAAATTATAAACTTCACTTTCCTCGGATCAATCGCTCGGTCCCGGAAGTGTGTAGGATTAATAATTGCTCTGGCGAATCACGTTTTTGCGGTTAAATTTTGCTGTTGTCCTGTCTTTCTAACCTGCGTAAATGAAATGATTTGGGTTCTAGGAAAAAGGCTTGGACGAGTCAACATTTAACATGACAATCTTAATTACGAACGACAAAAGTTGTACAAAGCGAAAGTCTTTAAATCTGCCTTCCCACTCCCCAAATACCTGCCAAAAGATTATTCTAAAAGCAATTTCGAAGCTAAGGGGTATGACATAGTGCTTGCTTAATATGGAGCAGCGAATGAACTCGCTAAATTAATAAACCGGTTTATCCAACATGTTAAAAACTTTAAATTAACTGCGTCTATAATAATTTACAATTTGTCATCAAACATTTCTTTAGAGTGGGATTAGAGAGCTCAATGACAACTAGTGTCAACTGCATAATAATCTTAGGATCTTTTATTTTTGTCTAACAAGAATATATACATTAAAGACGTATCAGTTCGTAGATTTAGGTTAATAGAATATTAAGTCGATCAATCTTTGGAATTTTTCCTTGTGTCCTACTAAAGTTAAGGGGCAATATTAATAGCATGGACCCTATAATTTTGAAAGCAGCATTTCTCTCAGAAGTTCGATTACATTGAGAGCATTGAAGACATGACGTTTAAACGTTGTCATGAAAAAAGGAGTGAATTGATAAATGTAGTTTATGTACATGAAAAGTACATAGACAGACGAAATTATGTGACCTTACATGGTAGTGCAGCCCTGCTCGGGGTGGACATGACGTAGCGAAATTGCTCGAGGCATTTTATTTCCTCAAATTGCTTTCTTTGCGCATGAGCGCATCATTTCTAATTCAAAAAACAATATATAATGTTAACAACTATACCTCCCTCACTTAAACTGGAGAATCATTGCTGTGCACACCCTATCAAGAGAACAGAACAGCTAAAACAACCAACTTGAAGTGATGCCCTGGTCACAAGCCCAGAGACAGAGGCTCGGCTTTGAGAAAACGCTGTTGGAGAGCTATTTTCGCGACAGAGTGACATGGATTAGTCCCGGAGACCAAACGATAGTGGAAGTTCGAGCTACATGCACCAACGACAGACAGTACACGCTGAGGATTTATCTGCCAACTGATTTCCCCAATTCCTGTCCCAACATGGTTGTCAAGGCATCGGCTAGATTGACGGCGCGTAACGGAGATCTACTAGAGCACTATCCAGGAGACAACCACATCGGGCAAACCGTAGAAGGCTACACAGGCATCTGCCATTTCAGGCCAAATAGATGGAAGAGCGATAATACTTTGTACCAGGTGACAATGAAGGGTCTGATATGGCTGGAAGCTTATGAGGCGCATCTTCGCACCGGCCAACCCTTGAGCCAATTTTTGACCGATATGCCAGATCGTTAAAATATAACTTTTAGCTGGTCAGGTAGATTCGATAGTTGTACACCAAACTGTTCATGGACTGTGTAGAGAAGATGCTTGCTTTCATTCGATCAAGATTACTGAATGATAACTTTTCAATGATGAAGCTCAGTATGAATATACGGGTAAGGATCCTGGTTGTAGTTGTAAGCTAAAAATACTTAAATATGGATCACAACGATGTCATTTTTTTTTTTTGTTCCTGTACGAAAATAGTAAGTTATAAATGGCCCTCTCTCCCGGGTATCGACAGGTCATGAAATAAACGATCGGCAGAGCAATATTTAAAATCTTCAATTTAACAATTGTAAGATGCTGGTCTTAAATTCAGCATACACTAAAATAGGCTTGTAGTTCAAAATTGCGTTTCTAGGCACGGTTTTTCTGTCAATTCTGTAAATTTACCCGAAAGCGTTGAATTTCGCAATGTTCTAAGAAACCAATGTAAACTGGTGGATTCAGTGTAATATTTCAGAGAAAGAGTTTCCAAAAGTCCGATGCTGAAAGAACCGCTTGTGATAACACATTTGTCTGGCGATATATCTAATCTGGGAATGCCAGTAATCACAGTATAAGTCCCTTCTTCCATGCGGCATGAGCGATAAGAAAGCGTAACTGAATGCTAATATTCATTAATAGCAAAAATAATTTAAAGTCGGAATTTTGCATTTCGCTTCGAAATGATACACTCAACTCCATTGGTTATTTGGATTTTTCAGTCTCTTGTTATGGAGTTATCATTTTCTCAGTTGTAAAAATACTCTCAGCTTTGAAGACGAAGTGAATAGCGGGTATTTACAAACTTTTCTAACATTCCATGAACCGAGTGTTGTTTGCGGATTGGCCTTTGAGTGAAAACAAACATCTCGGTCGATTCCAAGAAGAACTCACGTATACAATTTCAGTCAAACTACCGGTCTTTCTAAGAAAAAGTATATAATTAGAAAACAATTTTTTAAGTATCTTTCCTCGGATGACTTTCATATTTCTCTCATTCCGGGTTAAATTGGATAGGTTTACAAGAGTTCTGGGTCCACTCCAGTACGGTCCTTTCCGCCCCGGTTCATTGCAGAGTTCACTCGCGCTCCGATAAAGTTCTTAGGCATGAAAAATTTTGAATGATACAAGGAACTTGAACCATGACCGCGTAACAATGGATTGGTTAACAACATTTTCGCCGAACTTTCAAGAGCCCCTCAATATTTATCGTCTTTTGTGTGAATCACCATACCATGCTATATGATTTTGAAATATTTATGGCAGACATTACTTGGAGTAAAAAGTGTAACCTTTTTTGTTCCTTCGTCCATCATTTCTTCTCTTTAATTCAATGATGAAATTGCCCTTGTAGATGGGCTCAACGAAGATAAAATCAGAGCGTGTGTTCTAAGAATTGTTCACTGTCCACACTGAGACAGAATTCGTCATTAAAAGTGCCCATAAGTTATAGTTTAAATTTTTAAGATAGTCGGTGTTAGTTTCCGTTGAAATCTGAAAGAAATTAAAGTAAATTACCTGCTTCGAAGAGTAGCAGTCAGTCGTACACAAAAGTCTGTTGTATTGTAAACAAATTTTTCCACGAAAAACGCTCACGCATCATTTACATTTATCTTCCTGAATTGCTGAGCTTCGTAATGCTATCTACGCATGCTCCCAATTTCCGGGAAAACCGGAAATGTGATGATAACGCAAGAGCAAAGCGGTTCGAAAATAGTTGTTAGAAGAATTCACTGGCTTTGAATTTAGCGAGTATTCCTCGTTTGAAACTTGTACAGACAAACTAAAAGTTGCTTTTCTCTTTCTTCAAAATGCCATGGTCAGCAACTCAACAAAAAAGGCTTGCACTCGAGAAAAATATTCTCGAGAAGTACTTCGGTAACAGAGTTTCATGGATCAATCCAACTGGCGATACGAAGGTTGAAGTAAGAGTGACAACCACCAATGATAAACAGTATACACTCAGGGTATATCTTCCTGGAGATTTCCCGAATTCATGCCCGAAGATGATAGTCAGTAACCCTTCGTCCTGTCTGAGAACGAGAAGCGGTTTTTCGCTAAGCGGTGTGTGTGGGAATAACCATACATTGGGCAGCATTGATGGTTGCACTCAGATCTGCCATTTTAACTCGTCCCTGTGGAAAGATAACAACACACTGTACCAAGTGGTTATGAAAGGGCTGATATGGCTGGAGGGGTACGAAGCACATCTTCGCACTGGGCAACCTTTGAGTAAATACTTGCAAGAGATGTAAACAAATCGGCTGAGGACAGGAAAAAAACTGAGGATCGGGACAAACATTTCTGTGACAATACCATTTCTACCTGAGCCTAAAGCTTGATCCTTCGGTATCGGTAAATTCCATTGATTATTGTTTAGATTTAAACCTGGATAAAGTTTATTTTTTAAAATGCTGGCTAAACCTTCACCTCCGCGCTTTGAAGTCCAGATTGTAATTATAATAATTATTATTACCATTTTTCTTTGTGTCGCTTTCCTGTATTATTCGATTTCTGTCAATTTTTTTGGAGTCTGGCGAAGGGTCTTACTCTCTAGAGTGTTAGCAATATCGTGGAAGACTCCATCACATCCAGTGACCTCCAAAATACATTTGCACAATCCAGAAGGCGTCTTGGAAGGTTGCTTGAAAGCCTTTTATTTCGATCGCTTTCGTTTCTATATTCGAATGATTTGCGTTAGAAATAGGATCTTATGTAAGAACCTCTTATCCCTCGTATTGATTTCTTTTCATATCAATCGGTACAATCGCAAATTGCGCGGGCACGCTTTCAAAATTTCACCTGTTTTGACTTTCTGAGATGTTTTTTCACGTACATTATTAACAATTAACGACGTGATTTCTCTTGCAATTTTTGTAATAAGCACTTGTGAATTTTTCAGAGACTACAAATTGTACTTGCCATACGGGCTCGTACAGTTCTGTTGTCCTTGAAAATTTACTTGTGCTTATTAGCACCAATTTCTTTCGAAATCGTGTTTTTACCTATATTTACATGATCCAGAGATCCAACGATTCACTCGAACTGACGTTAGCCAAACTATCTGCAGACGGAAGTTTTCAGGATTGGGTTCCGTAAATGCCAGAGTTTCTCCTAATGTTTGACGAACTCAAGATCTCAAAAGTGCACGCTTGGAAGTACGTCGACGAAGAAGGCTTGAACAAGTAAACATTTAACATGGCAATCTTAATTACGAGCGACAAAAGTTGTACAAACCGAAAGTCTTTACATTGGCCTTCATACCTCCCAAAGATTATCATCTCTGCCAAAAGATTGTTCTAAAAACAGTGTCGAAGCTAAGAGGTGTGACAAAAAACTTTTTAACCATGGAGCAGCGAACGAACTCGCTAAATTAGCAAACTGTTTTATCCAACACCTTAAAAACTCTAAATTAACTGCATCTATAATACTTTACAATTTTTCATCAAACATTTCTTTAAAATGGGATTAGAGGGCTCAATGACAACTAGTATCAACTGTATATAATCTTAGGATCTTTTCTTTTTGTCTAACAGGAATATCTACACTAAATACGTATCAATTCGTCGATTTAAGTCGAATGAATATTAAGTCGATCAATTTTTGGAATTTTCCGTGTTTCTTACTAAAGTTAAGGGGCGATGTTAATAGCATGGACCCTATAATTTTGAAAGCAGCATTTCTCTCAGAAGTTCGATTATATCGAGGGCGTTGACGACGTGATGTTTAAATGTCTTCATGAAAAAAGGAGTGAATTAATAAATGTAGTTTGCGTACATGAAAAGTACAAAGACATAATCATGTGACCTCATATGGTAGTGCAACCTTGCTCGGGGTGGACATGACGTAACGAAATTGCTCGAGGCATTTTATTCCCTCGAATTGCTTTCTTTGCGCACGAGCATATCATTCCTAATTTAAAAACAACATAACTCCCAACTATATATCCCTCACTTAAACTGGAGAATCACTACTGTGCAGTGTAACTGAATACTAATATTCATTGATAGCAAAAATAATGCAAAGTGGGGAGTGTGCACTCACGCATTTTCATTCCGCTTCGAAGAAATGATACATTTAACTCTGTTGGTTAGTTGGATTTTTCAATCTCTTGTTATGGACTTATCATCTTCTTAGGCGTAGAAATATTCTCAGCTTCGAAGACGAAATGAATAGCGGGTATTTACCAGCTTTTTCAAGATTCCATGAAACGAGTGTTGTTTGCGGATGGCCTTAAGGCCATCCGCAAACAACACTCGTGGAAACAAAACACTCGTTGAGTGGAAACAAACATCTTGTTCGATTCCAAGAAGAACTTGAGTCAAACTACCGGTCTTTCCAAGAAAAAAAATATAATTAGAAAACAAAAACAGATTGAACACGTGTTTTTTTAAGTGTATACGACATTTTTATCATATTTTTAAGGATCTTTCCTCTGATGACTTTCATATTTCTCTCATCCTTTTATTGGGTAAGTTTACAAGAGTTCTGGGTCCACTTCAATACGGTCCGTTCCGCTCCGGCTCATTGCAAAGTTCACTCGCGCTCCGATAGAGTTCTTGGGCATGAAAAATTTTGAATGATACATGGAACTTGAACCATGACCGCGTAATAATGGATATGTAAACAGCATGTTCGCCAAAATTTCGAGAGCGTTCCGATTGTTATCGTCTTTTGTTTGAACTACCGTACTATGCAATGTGATTTTGAGATATGCTAGACTATTACGTTAGGGTAAAAAGAGTAACCTTTTCTTTTCCTTTCCTTGTCGTGCACAAAAGTCTGTTGTATTGTAAACAAAGTTTTCCGTGAAAAACGCCCACGCATCATTTACTTTTTATCTTTCTGAATTTCCAAGAGCCACGCAATGCCATTTACGCATGTTTCAATTTCTTAGAAAACTGAAATGTGATGCGAAAGCGCTAGCTAAAGCAAAGCGGTTCGGAAATACTTGTTCGCGACACTCACTGGCTTTGAATTTAGCGAGTAATCCTCGTTTGAAACTTGTACAGACAAACTAAAAGTTGCCTTTGTCTTTCTTCAAAATGCCGTGGTCAACAACTCAGCAAAAAAGGCTTGGATTCGAGAAAAATATTCTCGAGAAGTACTTCGGTAACAGAGTTTCATGGATCAATCCAACTGGCGATACGAAGGTTGAAGTAAGAGTGACAACCACCAATGATAAACAGTATACACTCAGGGTATATCTTCCTGGAGATTTCCCGAATTCATGTCCGAAGATGATAATCAGTAACCCTTCATCCTGTTTGAGAGCGAAAGACGGTTCTCCGCTGAGTGGTGAGAGTAGTCGAAACCATACATTGAGCAGCATAGATGGTTGCACTCAGATCTGCCACTTTAAGTCGGCCTTATGGAAAGATAGCAACACACTGTACCAAGTGGTTATGAAAGGGCTGATATGGCTAGAGGGGTACGAAGCACATCTTCGCACTGGACAACCTCTGAGTAAATACTTGCAAGAGATGTAAACAAATCGACTGAGGACAGGAAAATAACTGAGGATCGGGACAAACATCTCTGTGACAATGACAAATCTACTTGAGCCTAAACCATGATCCTTCGGTACAGGTAAATTTCATTGATTATTGATTAGATTTAGTAATAGATGAGATTTATTATTTAAAATGCTGGCTCTTATAGGATATCTTACCAAATAATTCATAACCTTCACTTCCGGGCTTTGAAGTCCAGATTGTATTTAATATTACCATTTTTCTTTGTGTCGCTCTCCTGTATTGTTTGATTTCTGTCAACTCTTTTGAAGTAAGGCGTGTTAGCAATATCGTGGAAGACTCGATCATATCCAGTGACCTCCAAAATACATTTGTATGATCCCGAAGGCGTCTTGGAGGGTTGTTTGAAAGACACTTATTTCGATCGCTTTCGTTTTCATAACCGAATGATTTGCGTTGGAAATAGGATCTTGTGTATAAACCTCTTATTTCTCGTAATGATTTGTTTTCATTTCAGTCGGTATATTTTGAAAAAAAATACTTCAATAGCTGTGGTAGCTCAAATTCAAACATTCTGTTTAGCGTAACAAATTGGTCGGAAAAGGTCAGCTGGCGTGACAGCGAAGTTTATGATCCGTAAGCGTGGGAATGTTGTAAGAATTGGCAGATACATAGCTACCTAATTTTGGAGTGGAAAACTGATCCTTAAAGTAGTTTATCTCTCCAGACTATCCAGTAATTTTTTCCCAGTAATTTTATTGCTTCTATGACGTTCATAGGGAAGCCTTCGGGAACCTTTCAGTTATTGTTATATGCAGTGGAGCAATAAGCTCTTCTGCTCTTTTGAGTATCATTGTTCGACGCAAAGTGTGTCAAGACGAAAAAAAAAAATACTGAAAAGAGGTGTTTTTATGCTGGCACCGATGATTCCAGACATACTGTGCGAAATGATCGGAAATTTGTGGGAACTGATGTGTTTATTGTTGTTATTGACATTTAATTGTAAACTGTAGTCAAAGAGAAATCTAAATAATCAGAGTCAGCACACGTTTAATGTTGGATACCAGGCATTCCGGGCGAAAGCCTGAGTGTGAGCCCACAAGGGATGTAGGGATGCAAGAAGAGGGGGGAGAGGGGTGGGGACAGGCGTGTTATCCCAGAGTATTTCTATTTTCATTACACCGAAAAAACAAGATGATGGCTTACAGATCAACAATGACTTAAAAAAATCGCAAGCTGGTGCTGTTATAACAGCCTTCTCATAAACCCAGAGAAAACCAAGCTGCTAGTGTTGGGCATACTTCAATAGCTGTGGTAGCACGCTGATTTTCATGTCACCCTTCTTGGAAAGAAGGTCACTCCATCTCCTTCTGCTCGGGACCTTGGCCTGCAGGTGGACAGTACTCTAAGCTAAGATGAACATGTCACCCAAACAGTGTCCTCGTGCATAGGTAGCTTATGTCAGATTAATAGGGTGAAGCATCTGTTTGATGCTAGGACATTAGAACGGGTTATAAATGCTTTAGTGTTTAGTAAGTTATACTACTGTTCTCCGGTGTGGTCTAACACTTCAAAGAAAAATATCTCGAAGCTGCAGAAAGTTCAGAATTTTGCTTGTAGAATCATTACTGGAAAGCGGAAATTTGACCATATAACACCGGTATTAAGAGAGCTAAGGTGGCTCCCCGTAACCAGTTTTCTTAAATACACACTTGGAGTTTTAGCATTTAAATGTGTTAAGGGGTTAGCCCCTAGCTACCTTTGTCATAGATTTAAGACACGTGCTTGTGTTCATGACCGTAATACTAGATATAAGAATAACTTGAATACCCCAGCTTATAAGTCAGCTTCTGGGCAACGCACTTTTTTATACCGCGCACTGAGTTTCTGGAATTCTCTTCCATGTGAAATAAGAGAATGTGATAATTTGCTAATCTTCAAGAGACATTTAAAGGAATTTCTTAGTAGTTTTTAATTAACAATACGATATATTTTAACGTCTATTAGAATTTTAGATCCTTAATTTTAATGTATTTAACATTGATTGTAATTAGTTTTTAAAACCCATTTAGTGGAAAACTAATAAATCTTATCTCTTACAAAAATAAATATTTTTACATTGTATCATTTGCAAGTTGATTAACCCTTTAACTCCTATGAGTAACCAAGACAAAATTTCCCCTCACAATATCAATACAGTATCATGCAGACAGGGGATGAGAACAAAGAATGATATCAGTCACGGGATTATCAGTTTATCCAATATCAAATTCTCCAAACTAACATCATAATAATTGTATGAAAGTCAGTAAGGAGAATTACTGATGAGATCTTGGGCGTAGAGGGGTTTACATTGTTAATAAATCTTGATATTTACAATCATCATAGAGATATCTCCCAATGTGGTGCTACTGATATTAGCTCTAATAATGTACATGAAATATTTATTCGCTTCTGATTGGCTGAAAACGAGTGTATTATCATGTAACACGAGTGCAAAGTTGTAACACGAGATGTGATTTCTGACATTTGAATGACATGGGAACAAATCAGTCAGAGAATTAATATTCTGATGGGGCGTGAAAGAGATTCTCGTGGCATCATGGAAGTTTCGGAATATTTAAGTTTTTCGCGGTAAAATTAAGTCTAGGTCGGTCAATCTAAATTTTGATCACTTTCTTTCTTGTATTTTTTTTATAATTTTGTTATTCCAACTCCCCGTAAAATATCATTGATCAAATCATTGAGTTTTCATTGTGATTAGTAGTGAACCAGGTTATTTAACCCTTTCCTTGGGGTGTTGTTCTGCTGCATTAGATGGGGATCGGGGGAATACGTTTCCACACATTTTTTGGCCACATTTAAATAGTGGTTTTTTTAGTGGTTTTTCGTATCTGGCGTAGCTCAGGTTCTTTTAGTAGAACCCCTGGTTTCAAGGTGCACATGTTAAGATTTTATCAGGATACTAGTAGACTGACTGACTCATCCTGAATCAACTTTTCACATTGAATGTCTCGTGTGAGTATACTCAGAATTACAAAATTGTAACATTGGTGCAAATTACAAATAGCGCGCACACCCTTTAAAAATTTCGCCTGTCTTGCCTTTTTGTGATGTTTTCTTGTGTTTTCACGCAGCGCCATTTTGGACTGCGTGGCGTACCAAATCGAGGCTGGACGGGTACAAGGTATAGTTTCTGTGTTACACTACGGTGTATTGAGTGAATATTACAAGTAAGCATGGCCCACAAACATTACTACGTTAAATTCTGTATCAGTTATAAGATAACTTTCTTTCGAATGACTCATTGAGATCGAAATGGATTGCCGCTACAAGGTAAGTTGAAGGGCCGGATTTCGAGGTAAGTAAGGGTCGCGTCGTGACCAGTGAGCTGTTAGATGAACGTGTTATTAGCGATCGACTTTACCTCTCGATTGAAGACTCAGCTAGCAGTTTTTTATGACTATTGAACCGGATTGAATTAACAAAGAATTGACGTCGCTTCTCTTCTGCTTGCTTTTCCGCAAAATTTTTTTATTCCTGCAATTTGCTTTGTCGGCGCTCTTTACCCTCCTTTGTCCATGCAAACTACGATGTTTTAGACGGGTAAGCCCAGTTATAGTCTTAAACATATCCTCTGGCTTGAAGTGAGCTGAGCACACCAGAGTGGAGCCTTTCTTTATCTGACAAATTCGTTTAAAACCGCAAATTATAGCGCGAATAAACAGGGGAGAATCTCATTATTACATATCAGCAAATCCAAGTAAATAAAAACAAACAAAACATAATCATGTTCGTTTGACAGCCTGAGCCAAAAGTAAAATAAAAAACGTCATTTAAAAAGAATACTAGATTCATCAATTGAATACAGTGTTATGGATTTGAAATGAATAAATATTTCATATACCTTATGCCCGTCTAGCCTCGATTTGGTGCGCCACGCAATCCAAAACTTGATAAAGGTCTATTTCACTTGCCCTACGAGCTTGTGCAATTCTTTTGTCCTTGAAAATTTTATTCGTGCTTATTGATACCAAATTGCACTCGAAATCATGTTATTACCTATACTTACATGATACGGAGATCCAACGATTTGCCCGAACTGACGTTAGTCAAATTGTCTGCGGACGGAAGTTTTTTTTAGGATGGGGTTCCTTAAATTCCGATGCTGCTGATGTTAAACGAACTCAAGATCCCAGACGTACACACCTGGAAGTACGTGGAAACGATACAGAAACTGCTCAAGTTGTGCGTCGTCATGATAAGGGAATGTCCTAAGTGCGTTCACAGTCGTCTGAACTGGTCTCGCGACCAGAACATACAATTAAATCCTGATATGTGCTAAGAGATGGTTATTGATTTCAAGACGCATAAGAATTCTTTTAGCCCCCTCTGGTCTGGGGGGAGGGAGGGAGGGAGGGAGGGAAGGGGGCAAGAACTTTAAGCTGTAGACAGTGTAAAGATTCTTGGTCAAACTTTAACTACTTATAGTGGAATAATTACATGACTGACTTTATTTTAAAAAAAGGCCAATAAGCGCCCCTACTTTCTCGTTAATTTGCGAAGCGCTGATGTCTTGTCAGCTGATATCGCCAACTTTTAGCGCACTGCCATCAGACCCGTCCTAGGATATTTCCCCCTGTGTTCCATCACTCTCAGCTTATTTAACAGATGACATTGAGAGAGTTCAGAAAAGAGCTCTTTCCCTTATATCGCCTAAAGTCATCGTAAGTCACGGTGGACAGTCTAATTAGCTTTGGCGTAACTGCCTTGTATGACTGGCGTTAGGATCAGCGTTACGAGCTCTTTTGAGTTCTCACCAATCCTGATCACAGACTCTCACATTTGCTGCCACCCACGTAACACTCTAAGTAAAGAAAAAGGAAAGCTCGAACCTTCCAACCATCTCCAAACAAGAACTGAAAGATACAGACGTTCTTTTATACCATCTATGTATAGAAAAACAAATACCTAACCTTAACTTGTCATAAACGAGGACTTTGTTTTTGTATTTT